CATTTCAGCTGCTTCAGTGGAAGCATTACCTATCTCTGTTGGTTTTGCTCCAGGAAAAATAAGATGACAGAGTAGACATTTGCGGGGGTAATTTTCAGGGCTAAGTCCATCAGACTTTGTCATTTTAGCCATTTGGGATTATTTCTGCTGGCAGAACGAATTTAAAGAGACATCCAGAAAATTTAAAGCAAGCATAATCCTTGTTGTGCCTGACACAAAGCATACTGCAGCACATCATTTTGCCAACAGGAGGACTTTTAAGACTGTTACACAGCTAAGAAAGGACCAAATCCAGGTTCAAGGCACAGAAAGGGACTTTGCCTTGCTATTCTGTAAGAAATCAGAGCGCTGTACTCAGACATGGAGATACCTATTCTCCAGGACTCAGATTTGTTTCCTTGCTGTGTTATATTGGTATTCAGGGCATGCTGCAAAGCCTATTTATTTGCCCTTGCTTCTCTGAAGCGTGCTTGGGAGACAGAATTCCGCATTATCTTTAGTTGATATTAGTTCAATTGATTTATCTGTAATTTTGCAGTTATTTGTTGTCTGTGTTTCTAGGTCTGTTGTGACCTTTTACAAGTGGGAATTATAAATAACTCCAGTTTGTGGAGGCTCATACAGCAAAACTAAACAGCTTTTAAGATATTCCTCCAGCTGCCAATACATTTCAGGTCCAAACTGTGCTCAGTCCCATGGACTGGATAGCATCACCTAAACAGGGAATCTTACGCATTACTTTAGCATGCATATACAAATATTTGCTGACAGATTAAGAACTGGAAATAACTCTGTCTCTGAGTTAAGTAGCAGATATGGGGGGAAGAAAAAGAAAAAAAAATAAGGTTTTAAGCATGAAGAAATGCAGAGTGGGTAAGGAGAGTTGGCAACCTTGTAATTTCTGCTTCGCACTTCAGTCTGCTGACAGACATCTACTTTGCATTCCAGGAAAGGCAGGCTTGCTGCAGCAGCCTTCAGCTGGCAAGGAACTTCCCTTACAAACCTTGTCCCAGGGATGCACTGTGGCTTTAGGAGCCTTAGGAAGAGTTATGGGCAGGAAAGAATTTAAGGACACCAAGAATCAGGTGAAAGTGTCCCTCTACCCTTCCTCCTCCACTGGGACATGGGAGTTCAAGATGAAAGTACACATCCCCTATCTGATCCAAGTACAAGCTCCTCTTTCTTAAATGGGACACCTGCTGGCAAGTGAAGTGTTTCATTTCAAAACCAGATGAAGCCTGGTGGAAGGTGGAAAGCTAGGAGCTTTCTCTGCCCCAGCACAATTTTGTCTTGTGTTTACTTAAAGAACAAAAACTGCTATTGCTGCCTGTAGTAGTTTAATTGCCCTAAATTCAATCCCTGGCTTGTTTTGCTGTCTAATTCCGTTGCTGTTATTTAATTAAGACACATTTTGCTAATGAACCCACACAGAAAATAAGCAAACACTTTCTTCCACCCCTCCCAGTACTCTCAGAAAACCTGTATTCAAAATCACTACTTAAACCCTAATCAGCAAGTTTCTCCCCACCAATGCTTAAAGCAATATTAAATAAAAAGACAAAAACAGGACCAAAAATCAAGAGCTGTACATTTCTAGCGGTTCAATCTACATTCAGAACCCCAAACAGCAGACTGATGATGCCTTTCTCAAAGGTATTCCCAGTCACGTTTCTCCAGCATTAGGGATTTTTAATTATTTTTCATGTTTTCAAGGGCAGAGTAGTACTGTTTTCCAACCTGGAAAGGCAGACTCAGGCTGTTGAACAAGAGTAATTACATTGTTATTTGGTAAATCTTAGTCACAAATGGCGGGTTATGGGCTTAATAACACACACACATGCTCAGAAAAAGCTGAAACACCAGCAACATCAATTTTTCTTGAGTGACCTCTAGACAAATTCAATGTTTCCTTTTGTGATAAGGCTGCACAGACATTTTCACCCATGCCTTCCCACCTGATCAGTAAGATGATATATGTGTGTGTTTACAGACAAGGAAGTATTTACATTCAGGTCACCTTAATATGCCAGATCTGGAAGGAAAAGAAAAAAGATATGTAGAAGTGGCTAATTCCTCCATAATAATAATATTCCTATGTCCAAGATAAGAGGCATGCTATCTTAGGTGAACAGCAGTTTCCTTTGTTTGCAGAGCTCTTGTTCAACAATCATAAATAATAATAAATAAATAATGAATAAAGTACAAAACATCATTTTCACCAGTCTTAAATTCAGGACAATGTAACGCAATCAAAATTTCAGGGCTTTCCAGAGTTTTGGAACAACAGCTGAGTACTGAAAAGGTAATAATAAAAAACAACACTTCCATCTGCAGCAAGAACAGGTGCCATGGAATTTGAGTTATCAGTGATAAGCTGATAGATTCTACAAGAAGGGCATCGAGCTGCCAACTCCACAAAAGTAGCCTTACAAACATCTGGACTGTAGTAATTCTTCTGAAAATAGCTGCATGCTTGAAGTAGTCACTGCTAAACCCATTCCACAAGAGATAAATCATGCTAGTAAGAGAAAGCAATAAAAATAAACAAACTAATGTTCCAGGGAATTCCTCTTGTTTTACAAGTGAATTAGCAGAAGCACTGTAATGAATTTGCTCAAAAATTGACAGGGAAAGGCTAAAGCAGAGGGGCAGAGGTCAGCTCTCCTGCATTCTAACCCAGTGCACTGTCTACAGGATCATCCTTCATACTCCTAAAAGTGGGTTGGTTGCTTGCTGTGGACAGAAGCCAGCCATAGCAACTGACTGAACTGAGTTCCACTTAAAAAAAATTCCAGAATTAGGTCACTCTGGCCATTAGCAAAAGAGAAAGAAGCAGCAGTCATTAAATACTGCCAATGTTTCAACTCCACATATTTATAAAACAATCTTTTTAGTTAATGATCACCCAGTAAAGCTGCACCAGTTAGAAAAGGATCCCCACCTCACTTGACCAGGAAAGCCACCAAATTCTGTCACGAGCAGTCCTGAGCATTACAGCCCTCTGCATGGCTCTGCCTCCACACAGAGAGGCAGAATCACTGCACAGAAATGTGCACATTTCTGCCACCGTGCTTCTCATAAAGAGCCTCCAAATCACAGCAGCACTAAGGACAATACTCATTCCTACTCACCACTTTTACAAATCCACCCATAATGTCCTCCTTACTCCATAGTCTCAAACTGAAGAATCTTTCAAAAACGATTAATCAGCTTTCATTAGCTCTAAATTGTTTTTTCCTTGCTTGCAATTAAGGACTAATATCCAAAGAGTTAGAAATTTATAAGGTGATTAAACATAATGAGTGATTAGCCATAGTATGATCAACTGCGGAATATGAACAGATATCTTAGTTTTTCCCCAATAAACTTTTTTCCCCTATGTATTTGCACAAGCTTGAAAAGGAAGATTTATTTAGCAAAGGTTGAGCATTCACCAGATAATAGCATATGTGTCTGTTCTTTCCCTGAAGGCAGCTAGCTACAGACAAAAGTATCTGTAAAACAGAAATTAGTGTGGATTCATAAGGTTTTAAGGTGACACTGACATGATGAAAGATCTGTTTTTACATGTGTAAAGTATATTTCAAGTTCAGAGAAAGGAACACAGAAAGCACACACATGTTGTGATCAGCTCATGTACAGGACAAGTATCTGCTCAGCATGTGCAAATATCATCACATAAAATATATTTCCATTTCTTGTGCTTCCATTCAATTAAATGTTGGTCAATCATTGCTAAAAACACTCTTGAGCAGTCAGTAGCATATTAAGCACTGCCTGGGTTGAAATATCAAACCAAGTGAATGAGTTGGGTCCAAGGTTATAAACAGCAAACGAGATTCTTTTTCAGTCACTCCAGCATAATATCAAAAAGCTTTAGTTATGTTAATGAAACCAAATTTCTGAAAGAAAAATATTCAATAATTTCACATATTTCCCTACATGTGACATCCAATGTAACACAAGTGCAACTCACTCACCACACTCAAAAATCTGTGAGAGATAACTCCACTGAGGTGTTCATCAAGTAGATCTTACACAAGAAATTGCAGGTCAACACTCACTAAAGGATGAAACCTGATCCTCTTTAGAGCAGAGCTTGTCACTCACAGTAAAGGCTGGAAACGCCAATTCAGCTGCGTTCTGCAGGGTACTCAGAAACTCTTCTTGACAAGAACACATCCCCAGAACACAACCAAGAACTTATTTCATCAGTGTTTCTCTGTATTTTCCTCCCTGCTGAGCCACAGGAGTAGTTAAGCTATTTCCATAGAAACGTCATTAACAGAACAAGTAGCGCCCAGGTTTCCTTCCGTTTTCTTTAGCAGAAACCACAGAACAGCAAAATTTGTGGAAAAGTAAAGATGTTCTTAGGACTCTAACGTACATCTAATATTTCACTTAGGCAATAAGTGAACCATTTGAAGCTTTAAAACATATTAAGCTCTTTCATTTTAGAGATGTGCAAGAGGAAGACGTAAAATGACACTTTCACAACATTTTTTTTGTTCTCCTGTTTGTATGGTGTCACCCCAGGGCATATGGCAATGTTCCACATTCTATTTTCTCTTCAAAACTATGTCCCAGTTAAGAAATCCCATGTTTAGCTAATACACGAGGAATGAGTCACTTATTGATGGGGAAAATGAGTTTATATGGGGAAAATAAGCATTATGCCTGCTGGATTAATGTTTTCAACAGTCATTACATTGCTTAGTGGAGCAGTCAGCACAAGCCTAGAAGTAGTATTAGTGCTTACTTTAGGATGAGGTTGTTCACATTTAACCAGTTTCAGGACTCCTCTACAAAGCATTCAGAATAAGTGCCTCTAGCTGGAAGGGAAGTAACTATTTTTAGCCACTCGAGGAACCAGGCTGGAGTTTGAAGCCAAAATAATTTCTAATGTTAAGTCTGAACATTTTGTAAGCTTAGGGCCCACAGTCTTTTAGGATGACAAAAATCAAGGGTGCATCATCTGAATATTTTTACTTTTCCAACAGGTAACTGCCACGGGTAAAGATCGTCTTTAAAAGGGAACATGGATTTAATAAACTCAACTGAACAAAACAGTACATCAGAAGAACCTTTCAAATGGGCAACATCCAAGATTCTCATTTCCATTACCCTGTCTGTGCTTGCTCTAATGACAACGGCCATCAATTCTCTCGTGATGACTGCAATAATTGTGACAAGAAAGCTCCACCACCCCGCCAACTATCTAATCTGCTCTCTTGCAGTGACTGACTTCCTTGTGGCAGTCCTGGTGATGCCCTTCAGCATTGTCTACATCGTAAAGGAGACCTGGATCATGGGGCAGGTGGTGTGTGACATTTGGCTGAGCGTGGACATCACGTGCTGCACTTGTTCCATCCTGCACCTCTCTGCCATTGCTCTGGACCGGTACAGAGCAATCACGGATGCCGTGGAATATGCCCGGAAAAGGACACCTAAGCACGCTGGCATCATGATAGCAGTTGTATGGATCATATCCATTTTTATCTCCATGCCACCTTTGTTTTGGAGGCACCAAACAACCAGCAGGGAGGACGAATGCATCATCAAACACGACCACATTGTTTCCACCATTTACTCCACATTTGGCGCCTTCTACATCCCGCTGGCCTTGATCCTGATCCTTTACTACAAGATCTACAAAGCAGCAAAGACATTTCACAGGAGAAGCGTCAGCCGGATCGTGAGGGAGGAGGGGGTGAATGGACAAGTCCTTTTGGATGCAGGTGAAAGAAGCACCAAATCAGCTTCAATGCCCAGCACAACAGAGAAGACCTCAGATCCCCTGGTGAGCTCTGATAAAATCAACATCACCCTACGAAGTCCCAGGTCTGAATCCAAGCACGAGAAGTCCTGGAAAAAACAGAGAATCTCCAGCACGAGAGAGCGAAAGGCAGCAACGACGCTGGGTTTGATCTTGGGGGCATTTGTGATCTGCTGGCTCCCGTTTTTTGTAAAAGAAGTAGTTGTTAACACCTGTGAAACATGTCATATCTCAGAGGACATGTCTAATTTCCTAGCATGGCTGGGATATATAAACTCTCTTATTAACCCTTTAATCTACACAATCTTTAATGAAGATTTCAAGAAAGCCTTCCAGAAGCTTGTACGATGCGGGCAATACCTTTAAGAGCTTTTGTTCACATAAGGAGAACACAGTCATTGTTTTTTAACCTGTATAAATTTATATAACTGAGATGGCATTTGTTGTATTTAAGGCGAAGCACCAGGACTCTGCATTTACATTATAATGACTTTTTTTGTATAGGTAATATTGGGAGCACTAATTGCCCAAGTTTTAAAGAGATGGATCATCTGGGACTGGTTTTGCTCTAGAAAAAGAGGTAGCTCTGATCCAGTTGGGATTTGCACAGCTGCCTAGCTTGAAGCATAAGGTATTACCTTAAATATGAAGGAAATATGCACTTGAAATAGACAAAGAAACAAAACTTTTTTAAAAGCAACCCTCAGTCATCAATGAAATGTTAAGTAAAATGACACACATTTTAAATCGTACTGATATATGACATAAAACACGCCATAGAATGATTTTAACAGTCTGGCACAGGCCTGCAGCATAGAGCCAAGCCATTCACAGCCAAGGGTAGTAGCTTTAATATATCTACCATCATCCCAAGTCAGTGAGCTGCAGCCCTGCTTTGTCCCACAGGTGGACTTCCCTGTGTTACACAGCACCCCAGCAGCAGGCACGGGGCTCTCATGGGTTACCAGTTTCATAACTATCGAGTGTTGGGAGCCCTCTGCCATTGCACACTCACAGCAGATGTGAGCAGAACCCCAGGGGAAACAACCAAACATCTGGGGCACCTCCAGTGAGCTGGGTACATGGAGTGCCTGGTGCTCTGAGACACCATTTCCAAGGGAAAGGGAAGACTCAAAGAGCAGCTAGTTCTCCTTGTGGAGAGGCTGTGCAGCACTTTCTGCAGCAGGGAAAGAGGGAGTGACTTCAGTATGCACTGCACACCCAGGCAGGGGGTCCTGTGGGATGCTCACTGAGAAGCTCGCCTCTAAATCCCTCCTTCCCCGTGAGCACCCATCCATATCCCCATTCCCAGCAGAATTAAAAATATATTACAGGAACTCCAGCCCACCCTAAATTACTTAGTCAAAGATGATCTCTATGAACAAATCCCTTCCAGGGCTCGAAAGATTGGCAGCTTGGCCAATCCTGACTTACATGTTCTAGATGCCAAGACATGAAGTTGTTAAGAGCCACACCAAAGCCCAGGTTTTGCACTTTTCAGGACTAATAGATTCAGTCTGTGTCACTAAAAGCTCAGATTCAAATTCTTGGTCAGACATTCAGTGCTGCCTCACAGGAACAGGTACTTGAGGCTCCTTACAGGGATTACAAACCCCACAGTCAGCAGCAGCAATCTCCTGGAGAGGTTCTCCAGTTTGGCACCCGGGCCACCAGCCAAAGGAACTGAGAAATGACAGCACTATTGTCACCTTTAGTTGGGGAAAGGTGTCACTGGCCCTTGCAATTGTTCTTCCAAGAGACTTTCAGTGGTTTGTATTCAACAAAAAAGTCAACACTGTCATTTGTCTCTCCCCCTCTCCCTCCTCTGTATTACAAACTCTGGAGTTTGTAATATTTTTTGTATTTTCCCCACTGGCTACTAGCTGACACAACAGCTGTCAAAAGGGCTTCCTGCAAGATGACAAGGTTTGAAACTTGAGATACTGAACTAATTTGTTTCTGTTATTGCAACTTACTGTATTCTGCTTTCACATCAAAGTCCAAATGAAATGCTATTCAGAATTAGCAGAAACAGTGCATTTGCTTTGCTGTTGATTTTAACACAGCCAGGAATCTAATGGAAAGCTCACTTGTCATGCCATGGAGCTCTAGCACAGCAGTGGCACAGCTAAATTTTGAAGATACTGGGATGTGACAGAGTGGAATTGGCTCATGCTCAGTGCAAGCCAGCACGCTTTATTACCATTGCAGTCAGAGCACAGCCTCTGCAGCCCCCATGACCTCAGCTGCATTATGCTGAGAGAAAAAATTGCTCTCAGCATCAGCTGTGCTCTGCTGTCTCCAGAAAGAGCCATGAATTTTAGCTTTCCAAAAGGATTAGCAGATTAGCAGGAAGCAGCACAGAAAACCCCACAAAATCATTCACTCTTGAAGACCTCTGTTTCCCACATTTCCTGAGTCATAAACCTGGGTGTCTTGGGGGAATCCATTCCTCTCCCCTTTCCTCTCTCTTTATGGCTGCTGGAGCACAGACTATATTGTGTATCCTCTTACTAGTAAGATGTTTGACAATATCTTGTGAAGTCAAATTGGAAGGAAAAATAGGGGCTGCTTTTCAGGAGAAAAGATACTTAAAATACTCATTTAAATAATAATGGGTGAAGCTCAAAGAAGGAACCATATGTAGATAAACAGAAAATATCTGTCATTTATGCACTGTTAACAGTATTATACTCTGAAACTAATTAAGCTGCTAAACATTTCTCAAGATGCAGGGTGGTTTCTTTTGTATCGTTTTCACTGAGCTGTATCTGCTCACCCTTCAAAACAGCGGTGGGAGAGGCAACTACAAGAAATCTGATCAAACAAGTGGGAAGTTATTCCATTAAAAGCACTTGCGGCTTGTGGACCATCATTTCTTGGTGTCTGACTGCGACTCATCACTCGTTCCCTTACAGAACCCACTGTGCCAAACACTTCCCCACACAGCACCACACAGTATCATTTCATCTCTAGCATTTACCCATGCATGTGATGCATCCAGAAAAAATACAAAAATTGCCCTTTCAAAATGGATAGACATTAAGATGTCTGCAGGATGCTGCTTTCCCTCTCCATGAGGCACACAGGCTTGCACTGGACCTTAGCACCAGGTTCAAGGAGCACAATTTCAGGCACTGGAGCAAAGATTTTTTTGCAAGTAGCTCTGTGCCCTGTGAGAGTTCAGTCTCAGCAAAGAGGAAAAAAAAAGTGTCTGGTTTCCCACCTCCATCAAAATACTCTGTGTGTGTATTTCAGGGAAAGGGTTTACATGTCCTCCAGAGTTTGCACAAAGCTTCCTGGGTCCCCATCACTGCTGCAGCTGCCCTCCCCATTGCTTTCTCCTACCCACACATCAGTTTAGATTTCTTCCAACACCCAGAGAACTGGATTTGGAGCAGCTGACCCACTCCCACTTCAGTTTTCACAGAGAATGATTCCTGAAGCAGCTGTGAACACGACATCCAGCTCAGGTGGATGGTTTTTACAAACAGCAAGCAGTTAGATACACCTCGCTGTGCTGTACTCATTTATTTGCCTTTCCTCCCTGCCAGATGCTTTATCGGTGTCCTTTCCTCCTGGGGATGGCATACCCCTACAAAGAGCTTGGGGACTCAGAAATACATTTGTTTTAGTGATGCAGTCACACTTGTTAACACATGACTGTACCACCCAGAAACACCCACCTCATCCAAATGCGCTTTTGGCAGTCGCTGTCTTCAGCTGGCGCCTGATTGTTCTCGGTGCTGGGGAGGTGCACGGAAATAGCTCCGTGCCAAATTATCTTCTCCAGTAGTTACAAACTCAGCACATTATTTCTAGGCAAGTACACATTACTACTTGGCCTCTGCAAGAAAGTGAGAGGAAACCTTTGTAAAAGCCCAGTAAAGATTAAGAAGAATCCTAATATGCGTCAGTCCTACTACAGGGACAGTACTACCAATAGCAGAACTGCTAAAAATTACGAGCAAGATTCCCCTGTGAAATCCTGAAATTAATTAAACCATTTTTTTTTTTTTTTCGGATCTTTCATTGTCTTCTGGAGAACCAGAATCAAATTGCTTACTTCACTTCTCAACCAGGAAAGCTAAACCTCTAAAAGAAACATAAATGGTTTTGTGATTCAGTGTTTCTAGCCATCATAAAGTAACTCAGAAAAATTAAATCTTTGATGATACTGATCTTGGCTAAGAGGAAAGATTACAGAGAACAGAACAAAAAAAAGTCAGCAGCAAGGGCTGTGAATAGCCAAGGTTACTGGCCAACTTCAAAACAGGATTTCTGGTGTCAAATCCCCCACACATAATGAACACCAGCAACTGAAAGCAACTTTATACCCTCACTTTCTATCCTAATTTACCAAAGCATGAGTTTCATAAATTTCATTTGTTTACTTCACATTCAAATTACTTACTTCTTAACTCAGGAAAATTTCAGAAGGGAATATTTTCAGGCAAGGAAAAAGTACTGTGTTTCATTAGTCAGAGTACATTAGTACAATTATGAATTTCAGATCCTGGTTGGGGCTGTGTAAAATCAAAGATGCTGCTTATCCAATGCTATTGCTTTTAATCCACTAATAGCTCAAACCAATTGTATCTACTCTTGTTTATAATACACTAGTATTATATATATTATATACATAACACTGGCCTAAAATTGTTTAAAATATCATTCTGAAGGCATTCATTGCTATGCACTAGATAGGCAGCACTATAAAAATTAGCCTCTCTTTCCACTCTAAAGCAAGATACCTCCTATATATGGATGATATTTTTCCCTCACTAAATTAAGACTTTTCCTTTCTTCCTGTACACCCATTTATCCGAAACTCAGAGCTGTATTTTATGGTTTGGGTTTAAAAATGAAAAACATGTTTAACACCACAAAAAGCGCTAACTGCTTAGGTAATGCTAGAAGAGGGATTAATCTTCTCACTTTTGGTTTAGATCATGACTGGTGGTAGACATTTAATGCAATAGCTGGTTCTGTGCTCTGGCAGCACTCCAAGATGCAAAAGCTGTGGTTAATTTGTATGACAGCAAGCGTCTGCTAGGCAACTTGCTCTTGGCTAAGCCTGGTTTCCTATGTTTCACAGCACAAAGCTGCATGAAACAGTCCACAGCCACAAAATAAGGAACCAGCCAGTTTACACTCCAGATGTTTCTAGTCTGGCAGTCACTGGAAGATAGTTGCCCCACAAACACACACCACTAACCAACAGCAGCAAAGCTGTGCCTGCATCCAGAGCAGAAAAAAAAACTTTCACATTCATCTACTACTTTGGAGGCAGGCTCAACTGACTCAGGGCCAGGTGGGCTCAACACAGAGCAGCACTGCTCCCCAGCCAGACACAAAAAGATCCTTTCAAGGAGAATGCCAGTCATCAGCAAAACAGTGTTGAAACACCTCAACAGCTCTGGTCAATACAGGGCTTGCATTCTTTGTGATTAAAAAGTTCACCTCTGAAGTCTGAGGTGAACCATCAGCCAAAATACTGGAATTTAAGATAAGAAAAATTCAAGCTACATTTTCAGGGTGTTGAAACACCTCAACAGCTCTGGTCAATACAGGGCTTGCATTCTCTGTCATCAAAAAGTTCACCTCTGAAGCTTGAGGTGAACTGTCAGCCAAACTACTGGAACTTAAGAAAAATTCAAGCTGCATTTTCAGCCTGGGGATTTGTCTTCCAAATCTACTTTAACAGCCAGTAAACTGCAGTCATTTTGAACCCAAGACAGTTTTCCAAGCAAGATATATCCATAACAGCTAAGCAGGACTTCATTTTTCACACACATAAATATAAGATATGTTACTATTGGACTGTTTCAAACCTCATTCATTGATGGTCTCCTCCATTTTGACAAGTATTTCTTTCACCTGGTTTTCAAAGTGTGGAAGGAATACTAATTAATTAATTATCTCAGGTAGGTCTTGTATCATTTTTATAGTTAGAAAATCAAAAGGTAAGGGAAGAAAGGAGCCAGCACCTCATCCTGAGGTCCTGGGGTGGAGGGGAGGTGAAAGGAGGGGGAGAACAGGAACCACTTTCTTAACTGTACAAGGAATCACATGTTACTGTCTGAGGGATGAAAATGAGAGCTGTGAAGCAAAGCAAATCAGGAAAGGGGAAGGAGGAAGAGAACAGTGAGAGAGAAAGACTGAGCAGATTTCTCCTTATAGGGCCTGGCAGCCTTGAAATAAACTCGTTTGAACTCATCACAGCTCAGATCCAGCTAACAGAAGTGCCAGTTCACTTCGGAGCTGCCTGGCACCTCCCGAAGCTGAGAGAGGGAGAGGAGGTGGTTTTGCCACCTCCATCCCACACAGGGTCAGTGCAGCACTGCACAGCCCAGCACACGTGGTCCTTCTCCAAAACTGCTGTGACAACTCTGGTCAGCACCAGCCGTGCTCAGCCAGTGAGGCTGGGGAACTGCGAGTACTGAGATCTTCAGAGGTACAAACAGCAGAGGAAAAGAAATGAGATCTTAAAATCTTATCTACATTCCAATGCCCTCCCTCCTTCTCAAAAGCCACCTCAAATACCTGGAGAGCTGGAGACTTTGTCCCTTGCTTTAGACATGGCAGGGATAGATGCTCAGCTTGCTTTATATTTCAGAAGTACAACTTATACAGTCAAACCACTACCACATTTCCTGCTCTTCTCAGTCAAATACCCCAGTGTATGCCAATCCTCCCCAGCCCTGCCAGCCTGGCCCTCGCCTGTGTCTCCAGCTCACTGAACACGGTGTTAAAGTACTCCATAACAATTTACTCCAGCACTCCTCTCTTTCGCTTGACTGGAGAAGAATAACAAAAAGCAACTGAAACACCCTCCAAGCTCTAAACCTGCAAATAGGGCATAAAATAGAAATAGAAGGAAGCAGCCCAGATTTAAGAGAAAATAAATCAAGTGACACTCCTCTGAACCACCTTTGCTATTCACCCCACTTCACACTCTCTTCTCACCCACAACACACTGCACACTGGGAGGGAAGGGAAAAAGTTATTTCAATATCAGGTTTGACTTATTTTGTATGGTTGGGCTAAAGAGCTCTCGTTTAAAGATCCTTCAGGAGAACAAGAAAGGCTGTGAAATGATAACCTGCTTTGCCTTCCCTCAACCTCAAGTGTACAAAGAAAACCAGATTGCAGCGAGGGATTATTGACTCAGGTGCAGGCAGGGAAACACAGCACAGAGGAAAGGAGAGGCTCTCACTGAGAGCTTCTCACGGGACAGAGCAGCTTTGCCGGAGCCCCTGAACACTTCGTGAGAGGGCAAACCCTCCTCAGCGGGCAAGAAACACAGCCAGGGGTGAAGAGGAAGGACGGGAGGCGATCCGGGGCGGTTCTCGCCGTGCCAGGCCGCGGAGCCGCTGCAGGGCCGGCGCTGTGCCGGGCCGCGGAGCCTTTTCCCGGGCGGGCGGGTCCCTCTAGCGGCACCTGAGCCGGCAGCGGCCCCGGCCGAGCTCCCGCTGCCTGCCCGCGGGTCACAGCCCCGGCTGCCGGCCCCACACACCCTCCCGGCCGGGCTGGCAGCCCAGCCCCGCTCCCCGAGTGCCCTGCATGGCACCCCGGGCCGCCCGCTGGCGGGGGAGCAAACGTGCCGACAAGTGGGGAAACCATCAGCAGGGGATCCCCCCTTTGCCAGCAGGATTCTCAGAACCCCCATGTCTGCCTGCACCCCCGTTCAGTAGTGGGGTTTATCAGAGAATAAATATACCGAGCTGTAAAGGAACCAGGAGGATCATCGAGTCCAACCCCTGGCCCTGCACACCCCAAAATCCCATCATGTGCCCAAGAGCTTTGCCCAAGTACTTATTGAACTCTGGCAGGCTTGGATCTGAGACCAGTTCCCTGTGGAACCTG